CTATTTACTTTAATATTCACCTTAAATGAAATTGAATTTTGAATTTGAATTGTTTTTAATGATAGTAACAATTTTAGTTCAATTTTTAATAAAATTTATTTAATATTAATAGATCAAGAGATTTGTAACCTCTTTTAGCGATTTATAACATTCTCAAATGAATTACAGGTGCCTTATTTTTATGAAAATCCTTGGCTTTTCATAGTCGCTGCAGTTACTATAGCTAGAAAAAAACTAATTTTTAAGGTGTGAAAATTGCGACACACGCTAAATAGACTTGATTTCGTATGTCTCGAAGTCTGGACCTTTTTGTATGCCTCGATAACATATTGGTGCAGATTATTTTTACCCAAACAAATAATAACCCAGACTATACATTGATGCGGATTGTCTATGAACTCTTTCTGAAGGCCACAGAAACCTGAACACGTAATTCGGTGTTCTTTCGCATCTGTTATAGGTAATTGTGACCCACGACACCCCAAATTGTTATAACCAGCAGTGCCGTGGCCATATATTTTTTTTATTATATTTTGTTTTAGTGGGTCGATTTTGATAAATTTTTGGACTACGCCTATGGTGTCGGCGGTGGTATCATACTAGGGTTGGAAAAAATCATGATTTTTTAAAAAAAATCAAAAAAAAAATAAGATTTTTTGATTTAAATCGAATTTTTGATTTTAATTCAAAAACAATATTTAAATCAGTTTCAAATGACTATAGGACTTATTTCAATTAAAGTCCTATCCTAAATGGCTATAACTAAATCTTTATAACTCTGCCCAATATCGATAACATTAACCATTCTACGGTGCGTTTATTTGTTTCCCACATCGATATTTCGCAAAAAAGTCGCTCGCTTCAGATCAAAAGTTTTTTTTTTCAAAAGTCTCAAAAGTATTAATTTTTGTCACTTTAATGGCTAGGCATAAAAGTAAAGCACTGTTACGCCTAAGCACAAAATACAAAAATATATTATTAAACTGATATTAAGTGTCAAATTCAACGAGTGTACAAATTGTTGCTCGATTACTGTTTATATTAATTGCAATATTTGAAATTCATTAAAAAATGATTTGTTGTTGTTTTAAAAAAATAGTATGTTCTATTCGGAGTAAAAAAGTACTTTATGTGCTTCCTTGTAACGTCGGAATAGCTTTACGATGGTCCTTCAAAAGTACAGCATTATCAACAAAAGTATAATTTTTACTCCTAATAAAACAATACACTATTGTTCGGAAATAGTCTTAAGTCGAGAATAAAATTAGTTTTATCTAATGTCAAAGTGTAAAATACTTACTGCAGATCAAAATGTCGGTAAGAATTTGGAAAAGTACAACCGTTTCAAAAAAAATATAAACAACATATTTCCCGACAACGATTATAGATTCTCGGGAATGAAGATATAGTCTCTATATCAGAAGAACCTAGTTCTGCACTAGACTGCGAATGATATGTATTCGAACAGCGAATTTTTGTCACTTATACATAAATTTTAAAATAAATCCCTACGTTTAGCGGTCTAATGGATTCACACGAAATTACTTCAAAAATCGGCCCAACATTTAAATCGTTGAATAGATATTTTTATATAGTTTTATAACATTTACAATTACTTTTCGATTTATTATCTGTTATATCTTTTATGGAAATATTTTTTATAGTTTTCTAGGACACATTTTTATAACTTTTACAGTTATTTTTTGATTTATAATAAAGTTTCAATAAAGTTATTTTTTTGATTTAAATCACATGATTAAAATTAAAAAAATCACTTGATTTATATCAAGATTTAAAGCATTGATGCCAACCCTGTATCCAGTGCCGGACTTAACGAAGCTGCCGCCCCAGGCCAAAAAAAATTGCCGCCCCTTAACATTTTTTTTAATTAAAAAAATTACGGATATAAAAAACATTTATTTGAATACAGGACAAACAACAGAATAGACCGACAGAACAGATCAGCACAGAACATAAAATAAATATTAAAATATTCATATAAAATGACAACAAACGAACAAAATAAATATAAGGTTTGCTTATATGCTTATAAAGGTTTCCTACGTAAAAAAGTACTCGCAAAAGTTCGCAAAATTATCAATTACTTCATCGTAATTGATAGTTTTTAAAAGGTCGGACTCAATATGTAAAACTGCCAAATGATTTAGACGTTCTGTTTCCATAGTGCATAGTGGATCGTAAATAAGTTTTAATACGTTTCAATGCAGAAAACGAGCGTTCAGCAGAACAGTTAGTAATAAAAGTACATGTGAAGATTCTTAATGCTATGAAAGTATTTGGAAACAGGTCTTGAGCGTTTTTTTTTTTCATAAATTACTTTAAGAAGCTCTCTAGCAGATGGTTTTGCTGACTTAATGCATTTTATAAATTCACGAAAATGTATTAATTCATTAGGCATTGACTCATCTAAATTATTTGGATTGAAACAGGTTATCAAATGTTTGGACTTATCGGTAATGTCGTCAATACTTAAAGTAGATAAATCACTAAAGAAACCAAATTTGGTTGAAAAGTCATTGTAGGCACTTTTCCTGTAGGAAATTTCAAGGATTAATTTATCAATAATAACATTAAATACATTTATCCTAAAATCGTCCCTAGCGTTAAATAGAGTTTCATTATCACTGGTTTCATCAAATTGTCGTTTCCGTTTCACTTTTCTCTTTTTATCTGCGGCATATTCTTTCTCACCGAACAATTCTATGGCACTTCTTTCATATTCCTCAAATGATTTAGTATTATCTAGATTTCTAATTTCAGAAAAATATTTTCCGATGAGCTATATAAATCTGCAGCAAGTTGTAGATCAATATCTACCAACTTTTTATTGACCGCATCTAATCTATTTAAAACGTCTGTCCAAAATACCGCCATAAAACCCATTTCTAGGCTTTTGAATTGTTTGAGGAGACTAGAAGTATCTAATCGGGTTTTAGGCTTTTCGGTATCGTCTTGAGGAATTGACTCCAACGTGGATTTTATTGGAAGACAAAGATAGTGATTGGCAAGCTTCATTTCGTGCAGACCAACGTGTTTTTGATCATTTTTTTAATGTTTTTGAATTTATTTTTTTATATACGATGTATTTATGTATTTATTTACTGGATGCATGGCACAATGCAGTAAAAAATAACCTAAGCGAATTATATATTTAAACAATAATAGTTAAGTAAATAAATATGTAATCGGCTAAGGCTGTATTCGAAATATTTTATGAACAAATAAAAGTTAAAAAAAAAGATAAATATTTTGGTATGCTCAAAATTTTCCGCCCCTAAAAATCTGCCGCCCCAGGCCCGGGCCTAGTTGGCCTACAAATAAAAGTTAAAAAAAAAGATAAATATTTTGGTATGCTCAAAATTTTCCGCCCCAGGCCCGGGCCTAGTTGGCCTAGGCCTAACTCCGGCACTGATTGTAGTAAAGTTTATACAAAATTCACTACACACAACCAATTATTCAAAATCGCTAAAATTACTACTACTCATCCGTAGGCTCCAATATGATGACGTCTAACGTAACAAATTCTGCTGCAGCCCGTATATGGGCGTTACATGTCCTTGTATTCTTTAGTCATTGGTTCCAATCGACCCATAATTAAACAAAATCCTGATGATTTCGTTAATATACAGGGTGTTCCATCTAAAAAAAACGAAGGAAAAATATTTTATATTTTTGAAAATTTGGCGTAAAATATTGAACATCCTGTATGATTTACGATTACCATGTTTATAGCAAAGTAAGAAGAAACCATCTAAAGTAAATATCTAATATAGTTTTGATTTCAGAACAGTTGTTGTATTATTAATATTTTTTTTAAGAAGGGTTGAAAAATATATGTTTGATTTATTTTTTAATATCTCTGAAACTATCGAAATAGATTTACTCATATCTTAGAATTATGTAAAGTGATCTGAAAGGAAGCCAAAAATGCAATAATATACAAGGTGTTCCATTTTCAACTTTATCAGTAAATGCACATTCAATTTAATGGAATTTACGTTTTTTGTTTTTATTTCAAATAGTTTTGGTTTGAAACAAACTATATACGAGGCATGTTTTTAAGTAAGTACCGTTTTGGAATTAAAAAAAAACGTGCAAAGATATCGCAATAATTTTATTTTTACATGAAAGCCTGTACCTTAATCTACTTTTCTACA